GAACTTCCATCCTTTTGGTTAGCAGCTTAGTGTGTTAACTTTTTACACCACCCAGGGACATACAAGTCAATACCTAACGGTAAGTCTCAGTGGAGGGCGTGATTATGTTGGAGAGAAAATGAGTGTATCAGTTATGTGAGCTCATTAAGAATGATGGATATAAAAAAAATAAAGACTTTTATATATTTCCTTGATTCTAAAATGCTACTGATTATAGGACACTATAATTTAATAATAGCTTTTTAGGAAATAAAGAAATATTACTTTATTAATATATTCATGCTGATTGTGAAATTTATATGGATTTCAGAATATTAAAATGTGGTGGGGAAAATGCATCTAAGTATTAAAAGTACATCTAAATATTAAAGACAGAAACAACTTCCAGAGCACCGGTAACCACATTTGAGAGAGTGAAAATAAAAAATCATCTACAAATTAATACTTCTGTATCCCACTCTAAAAATAGCTACCACAAGAATGAGAAGAGCAACGCCAACTGCAGCAGGAAGATGTCCACGTTTGCTGTGATACTAGGTGGTCAGCAGTAGCAAAAACAACCTTTAGGCCTAAGAGATTGAGTCCTACATTGATTTAATAAGTGATGGAACATAATTTATTTATCACTGTAGATTCTGAGCCATCCTAGAAAAGGAAATAGTATATTATACACAATCGTCAAAATGATCTGGGCATGAATTTGATTTAGAATTCTTACTGTGCTTTCAGTAGCAGAAGTTCGGTCATCAGTCTTCATCATGGAAAACTGCATGTCGCTAGGATCTGATCTCACTGGTGTCTGCAAGGGTTAAATATATTATGTGAACCAACCCAACAGATTAATTCTGAATATTAAAAAAAAATAGGTAACCTGCTTTCATTTCTGACATATGGTGAAAATCCTACTGGAACAAACATCTAGAAATTATGGATAAAACAGAACACATATCTTACTAAAGGCATATATGAGCTTGAAAAAAAGTAAGGGAATTCCCAGGGACCATAACAAAGAATAAACTGAAAGTTAGAGTGGTGCTATTCAAAGCAGCTAGTAAAAGGAGACAAAGAGGAAGCCCATTTATCTTGGCATAGGTTTTTGGTTGGAAAAAAACAGAGAAAGTTCTCTACCAAGAGTTTGTAATTAAAGGCCTGCCTTCTACCCTCACTCTGGTCTGGGTTCAAATGTAGATTTTGAGTGGTCTGAGAACTCCAAAGATGAGAAATTAATATAAAAAGTAGAAAGACGCAGACTTGTAATAGCCCTGCAGTGTTTGGCCAAAAAAAAAAAAATTCCAAAGCTGCAAAAAAATTCCAGAGATAAGTCCTGTTGCAGACGAGCTCACAATCCAAAATTATAAACTGCACAAAGAAATAATGCATTAACAGCAAGAGTAAAGGAGGAGGAAATGGAACACATGCCTAATTGCTTCCATAAACAAATGTCTCCTTTGCCATGAGACCAGAAGAACTGGATAGTGACCAGCTACCATTACTGAACATTTTAGGAGAATTTATAGGAGAATTCTGATTAAAAGGGGGGGAAAATGCAGAACAGAATTCCAAATTCTCACGGAATCCAGACTTTCTAGAGCTATTGAGGCTAGATGAAACCCGGAACCGTTGCCCTGAGATAATCTTTAAATCTTAAATCTTAAACCAAAAATATCCCCTGAAGCCTTTTTTTAAACCAAATAATAGGTTAGCTTAAATGTTTGCCTTGAACATCATGCTCTTTTGAAGAACTACCTATAAGGGATCAAAATGACAATAGCAACTCGAAAGGTCAAATAGGAAGCTTAAGCCCAAAAAACACCAATCCCATTGCCGTCAAGTCAATTCCAACTCAGAGTGACCCTATAGGACAGACTAAAACTGCCCCCACAGAGTTTCCAAGGAGTGCCTGATGGATTCAAATTGCCGTCCTTTTGGTTAGCAGCCGTAGCACTTAACCACTATACCACCATAGGAAGCTTAGAGGGCAGCAATTTCATGTTAATGGGGGAGGAACAATTCAGAAAAGGGCAAGAATAATTGTACAACTTGAAGAATGTAATCAATGTCACTGAATGTACATGCAGAACCGGCTGACTTGGTGTATGCTTTGCTGTGTATACTTTCAACAGTTATAAAAGAAAAAAAAGTAATTGAAGCTATGGAACAGAATTAAAAACATAAAAGAAAAAAAGAACAAGAGCCAGCAGACATAAGAACTAGACCTTAAGATCTAAAAACAACAGAATTATCAGATAGATATTCATTATAAATACTTTAAAAATGACTAAAAGCATAAAAGGACTCATAAATATGAGAAAAGACAACACTTCCAAAAGAAGTTCAAGATTTTTAAAAGAACTACAAAGCATCTTCTAAAATTAAAAGTAGGATCATTAAAAAAACAAAAAACAACTCAGTGGAATAGACAAAAGATTCCACAGTTGAAGAAAGAATAAGTGAACTGAAGGGCAGCTCTTAGGAAATTGTCCAGAAGACAATTTCATAGAGTAACAAAAAGATACATGAAAGAGAGTTTAAAAGTCATAAAAAGGTTCAACACACATCTAACAGAAGCTCCAGAAGGATGGAGTAGGAAAGGAAAGAGGTAAATTCAAAGAGATAATGACTATGAATTTGCCACAATTGATGAAAGACAGCAATCTCCAGATTCAGCAAAAATGACAAGTCCTGAGCAAGATAAATAAAAATAAGTTCACACCAAGTAATGTAGTGATCTGCAGAATATTAAAGTCAAAGAAAAGACCTTAAAAGAAATTGAGAGAGATAAAAAAAAAATGAAGCAATACTCAGCATGTATACTCTTTTCATCACATGACAACTTAAGTAGTATATCTAATTCTGGAAGTGCAGTTCATAGGCATTAGAAATGGGAAATAGTTATCTTGTATGTAAATAATGGCTGAGTGGTAGTGGCTGCCTCAGATGTGTGGTGAAAAAAAAATCTAAGGACATGTCTTGATTCAGTGGAGGAAAAAAATGCCAAGATTTATTAGTAATGTCTGATGTGGAGATAGAAGGATGAGCTGTAGCATTTGTACTGTGTATCTACCATTTTAATCTAAAGGGCATCCAAAATAGAGTATTTAAAATTATACCATAACCCAAAAAGAAAAACCAAACTCATTGCTGTTGAGTTAATGCCAATTCATATTGACCTTATAGGACAGAGTAGAACTGCCCCCATAGGGTTTCCAAGGCTGTAAATCTTTACAGAAGCAGACTGCCGCATCTTTCTCCCATGGAGCGGCTGATGGATTCAAACCACCAACTTTTCAGGTTAGCCACCCAGTGATTTAACCACTGCACCACCAGGGCTCAGGTTCTAGAAATTATATCATATCAAACTATTTTGTTCATTAATGCTAGATTAATCTTCCTTAAGAACCATTTTAATCATGTCTGAGAGAGAGAGAGAAATACCAAAACTATCATCGTCCTAGAGTCCCTATCATTCTGGGTCTCGGTTATAACATCTTAGCCTCTACTCTCACTAATTAAAGTCACCTTTTGTCTCTTAAAGATTCAATCCAACTTTCATTTATCTCCCCCATTTCCCAAATGCTATAAGACTTGAAAACTGCATCATAAAATCTGATAATTAATCATATAAGTTGTTTTATAATTATTAGTTTTATCTTCTTGAGAGTAAGTGCCTATGGTAGGCAACATCTAAGATGGTCCCCAATGATCCCCAGCTCCTGATATTTATGCCTTTGTGTAATCCCCTCCCCTGCCCCCTTGAATGTGGACTGACCTAGTGACTCACTACTAAAGAAGAGAAAATGGCGAAGTGATTTTGAGATTAGGTTACAAATCTGGGTTAAGTCAGGAATGCCTGTTCCTGCCCTCTCATCACTTGCCATGTGAGCTGCTCTATGGAGAGGTCTATGCGGCAAGGAACTGATGCCTCAGTCTAACAATCTGTAAGGAACTGAATCTTGTCAACAACCATGTGAGTCATCTTGGAAGCCGATTTTCCCTAGTCAATCCTCCAGATGAGATCACAGCCCTAGCCAACAACATGTTTGTGGCCTTGTGAGAGACCTGGAGGCAGAGGCACCCAGCTAAGCTCCACCTAGATTCCTCACTCACAAACACTATGAATAATAAATTTTTGTTGTTTTAATCTACTAAATTTTGAGGTAATTTGTTATGCAGCAATAGATAACTAATACTGGGCCACGTTTCATAGTCCTTTGCACAGTGCCAAGTACCTAGAAGGTATTCAAAGTATGCATTAGTTAACATTGCTCTAGCAATACTAAATCATAGTGAAATTTTCACATTGGTGAGGTCACGTAGCTATTGGCAACACAAATTCCCTTAAGAAGGGAGATTCTGAAGATCTAATCAATCTTAGGAAATTTGAACAGTAGTAAAACTTAATCCTAAAAGTTAAATTTAATTAGGATTACTTTGGAAGCAATTTAACATGTTGGATAAAGGTATAATCCTTAGAATCAAGAAGACTTGACTCTGAGTCCAGGGCCCAGTATTCATTAACACGTATATTATACATATACATACATAAGTTGCTTCACGAATCAACTGTATTTCTATAACCGCAGAGCTGATAATCCATGCTAATACTAGACAAAGGGAAATGTACAAAGCAGGATATTTGGATAAAATATCCATATTAAAGAAAAATGTTTTAATAAATAAACAGGAAAGTTTTTAATGTTTAGAATATGAAGTTACTATAAATCTATCTCAGAGACATTTTTTAATTTTATAGCTTAGTTTGATAGACAAAATGTTCATTTGGGGAAAAAGTTAATTTGAACATATCAGAACAAAGGGATGTTAGTATAGTACCTGTCTTATCGTGTCACCTTCCTGATTACTAACTGTAATCATTTTATCTTCACCACCTAATGCAAGCAGATTTTCTGCATTCCAACATCCACATGTGATTCTCTTAGTATGTTTTCCTGAAAAAGAGATGATTTTTGTATAGACACATGGATTTCTCAAAAAAAAAACATAAAAAATCTGTGATGTCAATCTCAAAGTTTAGGTAATATACCATGGAATTAAATAGACAAGGAATTTAAGATCTCATCAAAGCCATCAGTGTCCAAGCAACCTTATTTAAAACAGTTCATTATCAAGTTGTGAATCAAGATAGTTATACAAGAGCAATACTGTTTCTCAACTTTTAATGTGGATATAAGCATAGATTATAACATTAAAAAAAGAAAGATATTCCACTCCTGGATAAATTTTGTTTACCACATAACCAAACCCTGTAACAATAATGTCTTATGAGAAGTAAATCCCAAACATTCATAGTACGACAGACCCTTGGCATAAACAGATTTATATTCACAGTTTTGACTATTCATGTGTAACTAAAGCCCACATAATAACCTGTAATAATACTGAGGGGAAAATACGAACACAACCTTGTGAGACTTGTGTTAAGAGCTGAGTCACTAGCTAGTAAGTGATACTAGATAACCACTCAGCACTGGAAAGCTTTTTCATTGAGCAGTCCAGCCAGTGCAAAAGCTGCATATTTTGGGAAGAATCATATGCTTGATTTGTGAAGGTCTTGGGATAGATAAAACCCTCAAAAGTCCCAAAGTTAATGCTATCAGTGAGATGTAGAATGCTTAAGTGTATAAATTCTGATGCCAGACTGCCTAGATTTAAATCTTGGCTCTACCATTTAATGAATAACTGGGGAAGTTATTTAAATTTCTATTCCTTAGTTGTCACGTCCATAAAATGTAGAAAATAGTAGACCTACCTTATAGAGTTGAGGATCGAATGAGCTTAAGTACTTAGAAAATGCACAGGAAGTGCCGTCTGTTAGCTGTTTTAGCTGTTATTGAGAGCAGAGACCCATGTTCATTTTAGTTTTTGTATCCCTATAGGACTTCATAGAGTACCTATGCAGAAAGCAGTTACTTAATTAGTGGTTATTAAGAAAGCAAACTCTGAGGCAGGAGTGTGACTGGTGTGTTAGAGGATCAGCAAGAAGGACAGTGTGGCTGAAGCAAAGGAAAGGAGGAGAGAAGAGCATGAGATACAAAGAGGTTGCAAGGTCCAGATTACAGAGGACTTTGAGGAGTTTGGCTTTGACTCTGGGTGAGTTAGAGAGCCAAGGGAGAGTTCTGAGCAGAAGAGTGTCATGATCTCACTTTTTAAAAGGCTCATCTGGCCTCTGAGTTGAGACTATTCTACAGTGGGACAAGAGTTGAGCATCCCAGAGACTAGTTAAGAGATTTCAGAATTCAGGTGGGAGAGAAGTTCGAGGCCCACATCATGGTGGTAGCAGTAGAGGTGGTGAGAAGAGGCTGGGTTCTGGAGATATTTGAAGGTAGAGCTAACAAGATTTTCTGACAAATTAGATACAGAGGGTATAAGAAAGGAGTCAAAGATGATGCTAAGATTTGGCCTGAAAATCTGGAAGGATACAATGTCATTAATGGAGACAGGGAACGGTTCTGGACATTTTAACTTGAATTGTCTACTAGACATCTGATCAGAGATGTTGGTAAGCAGTTGAATGTATGAGTCTAAAGTGTGGAAGAGAGGTCTGGACTAGAGATATACACTTGGGAACTGTCAGGTATAGATGGTACTTCAAATCAGGAGACCAGAGCACAAAAGTGAAAGGACATTCAGAGAAGAGACTGGAGACACAGGAGATTTTGCTGGTGACAGAGTGACAGACTAAGGGACTTGGGTGGTACGTTGGAACTGGATGCCTGAAAAGATAGACATTAGGAAATGAAAAGAGTACATAAAGATGCCAAAGACAAACTTCTTTCTGGATCCAAGAAAGGAGAAGAAAATCTCTTCTTCCTATACACCTCAAGGCCCTTTTGCTTCCAGTGCTCAGAACTCAGGTTAGCCTTAACATAATAATAGTTAACACCCATGACATGCTTGCTTACATTGTTCTGGGCAATTTACATGTATTAACTCATTTAATTAAGATTAACTCAGTTAATAAACTTTGTTAACGAAATATGAACCATGTTGTTGGGGGACTCGTGCTATTTAATTAAATGGTGGTAACTGAAATTCATGTATATCTGAACAGTGCAAAGCAAGAACTGCCTGTATGTAGTCTTGTTCAAAGAAACAAATAAGTGCAACATAAAACAAGGTGAAAGATAATAGATTATTATGAAGTGGTGACAAGTTATGCTACCATGTACCTGCTATCAGAAGTGGAATGGCTTGGTTTTAGGAAATTAAGTTATTTAAGAGGCAAAAAATCCAAGCCACAAATCACAACCAACTCTGAGAGAGGCTGTTACATCTCTAGCTAAAAGATCTAAGATACATAATTAAGCTGAAACTTTTCAGGATCCTTTTACACAGTTAATAAGTAAGCCTGTGAGCAGAATCAACATTCACTTTAAATACAAAGATCATATATAACATATATGTATGACAGGGAATCCTTGGGTGGCTCAAACAGTTAAGCGCTTCACTAGTAGCCAAAGGTTGGCAGTTCAAACCCATCCAGAGGTGCCTTGGAAGACAGGCCTGGTGATCTGCTTCTAAAAGATCACAGCCTTGAAAACCCCATGGAGTGGTTCTACTCTGCACATATGGGGTCGCCATGAGTCGGAATCCACTCTACAACGGCAACTAACACCAACATAAGTTAGCTGATAGGATATACCTTTAGATAAAGGGAGATACAGAAAATGCCTACTGAGGTCAAACAGACAAATGATTTCACATGGTGAAAAAGGAGATTTATGTAACTCAAAAATTTTTAGTTTAATTTTTCAAATGAGACAATGATGTTACTGTTTAGCTGTAGCACTAAAGATTAATATTAAAAATATACATATATGTGAAATTAACTGGAGACGATTAAATGTCCTTGATGGACAGGTACCTTCTCAAGTACTCTGTGGGTGCCATTATCTCCAGAGTTTAATCCCTTTGTAAGCAATAAGTTATGCTTTTTTGGCCACCTGAATGTAATTAAATCCACTAGCTCAACCATTCACCAGCATGATGTTACAATAATTAAAAGAATCACTACTGTCTCTTCATGGGTATTTAGCGGGCAGATACCAAATGACCAGAGGTTGGGGAAATCAAACAGACTGAACCAAGAAGGTCAAACAAGGAACAGAACATAGCTGTATACCCTGAGGCAAATATAACTCATGTTCCACACCTAGATTAAATTGGTGTTTGGAGAGTGAAGGGTCAGAATTAGGAGTCTAGATTTACTCTGTCCAAGCAGTCATTAAATGTTTTAGTCCACCTACTAATGTGTTGATATCCATACAAGCTATTCTATATCCAGAGGTACAATCTGGGTGAGAAAGGGACAGATGGAAGCCATGCCATTAATGTATTAGTGCCAAAAGGCATAGGCTAACCTTAGAGCAACCTACTCTATGTACCCAGGGAAATTCTTAGTAAGCAGTAAAGAGGGATCTTCTCAGTTAGCCAGATTTAAGACCAGGCCAGGAGGGTCTTTATAGTACAAAATTTCCCTCGCAAAACCAGGGAAATCTGAGGCAGTAAAAACTACATTTATGTAACGCATCTTTAGCAATGTTTCCAGCTATACCTACCAAGGACAGGAATCTTTCGAGATGTCTGACGATTATAAATAAGCAAATTTCCTTTAACAGTTCCAACAGCCAGGAAACTTCCAACTTTAGACCACAGAAGAAAAGACATCTGATCCCTGTAGCATGAAGATATAAATTACTAAACAACTCATAATCATAACCTCTAAATAGTCCTTTTAAAAAGTACTTCATGAATAATTTTAACATCTACTTAAAAGCCAAAGAACAAAATTACAACTTCACACTTTAGGACAAAGATTAAGTGCTGAAGACATTTTGGAGAAGCTATACGATGATCTTAAGGTCAGTCAGACTTAAAATACAAATATGACTTCAATTCAGTCATGATGGAACTTCAAATTTCATGAGATGACTCTTGATATATAAAAACCAGTTGCCAATGTGCCGATTCCAACTCATGGTGACCCCACATGTGTCAGAGTAGACCTGCACTCCACAGGATTTTCAATGCCTGATTTTTTGGAAGCAGATCATCAGGCCTTTCTTCCAAAGAGCCTCTAGGTGGACTCAAACCTTCAGCCTTTCGCATAGCAGCCAAGTGTGTTAACTGTACCACCCAAGGATTCCTCTTGATACATAGTTATTTGCCTACTAATAATAATTATAACTCTAAATTTAGTTAAAATCTTAATGGATAATGAAACGTCATGCTCTGAAAAATGTAGGGTCCAATACATGATATGTTAAATTGGAAAAATCATTGGGAATTCATGACCTTAAAAAAGACATCTTTTCCAGCCCTGTCACTATTAAGAGTAGCCCAAAAGCAGGTAGAAAGCACTTTTGCCACCACCAGGTCTTACCTGCATCCTAGGACTCAGTTTGAACTTTAATATGATTGCCTATCAAAGGGAATCAAGACTCACTGGTGTGCAGCTCATTCCACATATTAGGAAAAGAAATCACAATGGACCTAAAACAATGGTTCTCAAAATGTGATCCCAGGACCAGCAGCATCAACATCACCTGGCAACTTGTTAGAAATGCCAATTCTCAGGCCCACCCAGACTTACTGAAGCAGAAACTCTGGAGGTGAGTCCCAGTAATCTGTTTTAATAAGCTCTCCAGGTGATTCAGACCCAGTTAAACTTTGAGAACCACTGATAGACCATGCTATTGTTTTTCAGAAGGCAGGGTTGCATTCAAGAATATTGGGGGCAGTGATGAAAGGACAAAACAATAAGCTTAAAGGGGCTTCCTCTGGCTAAGTTAGGAGAATTTGAGCATTAAAAATGATACATTTAACTGAAACAAGTTGAGTTTGTGAAAGGCCATAAAACCATACTGATACTTGAAAAGAAAAATTAATATAAAGTATATGAAAAGGTAATTGTAATGAAAGGTGCATATAAGAAAATGTTTAATTAAAAAATTAATTTTGGCAAGCAAGGGAGATTTAACATACCAGGCTTCTTTGATTAAACATATATTTTACAAAGGGTAAGTATCTGTTTCTCTGTTTAAATAGGTGTGGCAGCCATGAAAATGTACCTCTCAGATTTCTAACCATGGGGAATATAACTGACCAAGGGCCCCTGGATCCAGCCATGCCTGCAGCCATCCCATCTCCAGATTTTCGTGTATATATTTTGCTTCATCTTTGGACTTTCTAGTTGTTCCATTGAAAGCAACTTTTATTTAATAGAAACTACTTGTATTTCACAGTTGTAACAATTTTATTCTAATTAATTGGATAGGTTTAGTAGAATGATTATATAGAACAATAAAAGAAGTTATTTCTTTTATAAGAAAAAAACTTATCAATGTATCTTTAAAAGGAAAGTAGTAAGTATTGCTAGCATCAAATCTACAACTAATCATGTTTATAAGTAAAGACTTAAAAAATAAAAAAAGTTATCCTTACCTCATGCCACTGTCTAGCTGGCTGGTTTTATTTGTGTTGGCATCCCATAAATAAACGCAACTAGATTTCTCAGCAATCACTGCTAGGATATCTCCATCTTTATCCCAATCCATAGCAACACAGTTACTTTTTTAAAAAAAAGAGCAAAACAACACTACATATTTTTTAAAAGTAGAGAAAAGAAACTTAAATACTCATATACTTGTGATTTTTGTCTATAACATGACCATTAAGTCTATTTTGAATAAGTCGTAAACTTGTTAAAGTGAGAAATACAACTCACTGTTCACCCCTTGGTTACTACTAACTTCAGTTTTTTGTTGTTTTTGAGGGGATGGAAAGAGTTTTATTTAAAATACCATTTTAATATACTATATAATTACACATGATAAGTTAGCGGATTTTCTTTAATCCTATAAAGAACCTGACCCCTTGGTAAAACAAACTCATCAAACACCTCTAGAAATGAATCATACTGGGAATCAAGAGATAATTTGTACAATTAAATTTTCAAAGCTTATTTTTGATTTACAGAAAGAGAAGGTACTGATAAAAAATGAAGCAATAGCTAGATAAATTGAGTATAAAACAGGTTAAGGCTAGGTAAATGCAGGATTGCAAAACAGTGAAAAGTGAATTCCAAAGTGGTGAATAAGAAATGTTATTTTCATTTTACATCTTGGTGGAATAAGAAGAGTGAGTGACTCAGTTAAGATGACAACATAATTATAAACAGGAAACGTTCTATTTAACATGGCTTTTGATGTTTAAAATTATTCCAAAAATTTTACTACAGTTTTAGAAGTTCCCTGAGGATTGACCTTTTCTTCTCTGATGTTATCTTTCATTCTGAGACTCTTTGTTCTTGGGTGTTTGCTAAATTATGCTTGATTTACCTTTAAGACAGTTGGGAATTACTTCAATTATTTTATTCTTCAAACTGCAAAAATACATTTTGGGATCTTAACTTTCTATAATACTCTCAGATTTGGGGAATATGGAAGAGGGAAGATTTCAAATTATTGATAGAATCATCTGCCAATTAAAGACTGAACAGATAACAGCATTTTATTTATCTGGAGATTCTTTGTCAGTCAAATTCAACTATTATGAATACAGCAAAGAATTCAGAAGTAAAGAAATTAAGCTATTATGTAACCAAAATAGATGTCACAGAGATCATGCAATAAAGCTTATACAATTTACTCACAGATGTTTTTTACTGAGTGCCTTATTTTATTTTAGATACAATTATAACTACCTTGACTTCTGTTTCCCAGAATATAGAAACCAGAAGCATCAAATAAGACAGCAATGGGAAATGCCAAAACAGTGACATTAGGTGGGTGGAGCAAAGCAGGAGGTAGAAAAGGCTGTAGAGACTGAGAAAAAGAAAACAAACTGATTTGCAGAGATGGTGGCAATAAACTATAGAAAGTAGACATGAATTTATAAGGCATAAGGCCATTTAGGTGAGGGACTTTACACACCTTAATACCCACTGAGAATATCAGTAGAATAACAAATACTGGTAATGATTACACTGAATCATTAAAAATAGCTATATTATGCTTAGTGTAATCTAGAATTACTCATTGAAGGGGATAAAATAAAATATTCATCCTTTAAGAAGTATCTGGAAAGTAATCATTTTCCAACAATTCACTAGAGAGGAAATATTAAAGTAGCTATAGGGTTAAGTTTCTGCCTATACACACACTTTTAACATGTATTTATAATTAAATGAGAATCCTTTCATATGTACTCATTTACAGTCTTGCCTTAAAGCTTCCTTGTGAATGTATGAGTTTTATAAATATATTTCTAACTTAATATGCTATGTGTCTACATCATTAACTACTTAAAAATTCTATCTAATTAAAGTTAAAAAACAGTATTTTTATCTTTTAGGTAACAAAGCTTAAAAACGTTTTTGATTTACCTCTGTACCTACCCAGGTAAGTTAATTTCACTTCTTTTTTGACCATGGCGATCAAAGATTTTCACAATATGATTAGCTCTAAAAGCAATTAGAACACAAAGCTATGATTAAAATGTTTTTTATGTATCTCTTTACACACCTTAATGACTTATATAAAAAAATTAAGCCAACACTCAAGTGATTTCAGAGCTCACTCACTATAGTTTCATAATTTGTATCTAAAAAGTTATTTCTTTTTAATAATTACTTTACCAGGGAAAAGGCTCTTTGACCTGTGATGTCAATGGAGGTGAACGTATCACTCTTCCCACCATATAGCTGTCGCACAAGAACTTCTACTGAATTAGATGGTGTGGTCATGTGAGCATACATCCATCTGGAGTCAGGACCAGCTACGTAAAACATTCACTAGTTTCTTACCCTGTTACTGCTAGGTAGTTTCCCGATGTTCTTTGCCAGGTGAACTGTATTGGTGTGCCAAGCAATATCTTTTCTTGCAGTGAGAAAACACGCTAAAAAATAAAGACACAAATTTTTATATTTTCCAAACATATACAATTACGGGGAGCCCTGGTGGCACAGTGGTTAAGAACTTAGCTGCTAACCAAAAGGTGAGCAGTTTGAATCCACCAGCCACTCCTTGAAAACCCTATGGGACAGTTCTACTTTGTCCTATAAGATTGCTGTAAGTCCAAATTGACTGGATGACAACGGGTTTTGGTTTGGATACAATTAAGGGTTGATTAAAAAAAGAATGTCAAAACCTGATCATGAAAACAGCAGGATTCAGGATGATGAAGGCTTATGTCAGAGCTGATCCAAATGACATAAACAATATAGCAAACAAACAACTAATCAACCAACCAAAAAAATGCAATCTGGTTGGTACAGTATGGATCTCAAGATAGAGAAGATCTACTAATGTTTTTCCTCATGAATGTCTTTGAATTGTTAATTTTATTTAAAAAAATATAATTGTAAAGTCTTATAGATGTTAAGGATTAAAATAATTTAAGCTTGAGTTTTTTAATTATCATGTGACTTTTATCAGTGACATATGACTTTTAGCAGTGGCATAGTTTTTTTTTTTTTAATTAAATTTGATTTAACAAAGTGGCTGTTTTAAAAATCTTAAGTGGCGTAGTGGTTAAGAGCTATGGCTGCTAACCTAAAGGTTAGTGGTTCGAATCCACCAGGCTCTCCTTGGAAACCCAACGGGGCAGTTCTACTCTGTTCTATAGGGTTGCTATGAGTCAGAATCGACTCAGTGGCAAAGGGTTTGTTTGTTTTAACCATGATAAAAACTCAAAATGTTTATACTTCCTTCAGGAGCCCCAGGGTAGCGTAAATTGTTAAGCACTTGGACACTAACCAAAAGGTTGGTGGTTTAAACCCACCCAGAGGCACCTGGGAAGAAAGGCCTGGTGACCTGCTTCCAAAAGGTCATAGTCATGAAAAGCCTATGGAGGGCAGTCTACTCTGCAAAACATGGGGTCACCATGAGTTGGAATCAACTCCACTGCAACTGGATACGTCCTTGAAAATTATTTCTTCCTTTACCCATTGGTTATATATTAAGTGTTTAATTTGGCTATTGGGTAGACAGGGTATAAGTTGAAAAAATCATTTTTTCTTTTCACTAGACAATCGAGAACTCTGGTATCCAATATGGTAGCCACAAGCCACATGTAGCTATTGGGCACCTGATTGAAATGTGGGTAGTCCAAGTTTTGATATGCTGTAAGTATAAAATACCCATCAGATTTCAAAGATATGAAAAAAAGAATGTAAACTACATTGATAATTTTTATACTGATGATATGCTGAAATGATAATATTTTTGGTATACTGGTTAAATAAAATATTAAAATTAATTTTACCTGTCTTTGAAATTTTTTTAACATGGCTACTAAAATTTTTAATTACATTAGCTTGCATTGTATTTATATTGAACAGGAACATAGAGCTCAGTGAGAAAATTTAGATTTCAATATTATTAAAGGTATGATGCCCATTCATAGCTATATGAAGTTTAGATAGGACTACAGGAGACTTAACAGTTTGAGTGGCAACACAAAACTCTTCCAATACTCAAAACTTAACACTAATCAGCAAACATTTCATATACTAAAGATGAAATCCAATTCTGTTGAAAGTATACATGAGCTATCCAAAACCAAACTCACTTGGCCTTGAGCGGATTACTCATAGCGACCCTACAGGACAGAGTAGAACTGCCCCACGTGGTTTCCAAGGCTATAAATCTTTATGGCAGCACACTGCCACATCTTTCTCCTCTGGAGCGGCTGATGAGTTCCAACTGCAACCTTTTGGTTAGCGGTCCAGCGCTTAACCACTGCGCCACCAGGGCTTCTTACACGTGCTATAATCATGGGTATATCCAGGTTTTGTGGCGCATGAAGACACTCTTGAAAAAGAATAAGAAAACATCTTACTTTTGCAAATTTTACAAAAACATATGACCACATTGTCCTGAAACTAGACCTTCATTAGTCTCATGAGAGATCTGCCTCTGGCTGTGAACTTACAATTTTTCTTCAGTGGAGCTATATAGATGCTCCATATACAGTGCAGAGGAAAAGCGCTAGCTTCACAACGACAAAAACCGACGTTTAAATTTTGACTCTTCTTGCCACAGAATCCCCAATTATAAAACGGCAATAATATCTCACTTGAAGTACTTCATAAATTGTGAAGCGCTTTAAAAATGTGAGTTATGTTTATTAGTCTGTCAATTCCAATTTCCACACTAACAGCCACGCGGAAGCATTAGGATGTATATACAACAATTTTAAATTTGAGCTTTCCATTCGTAGGCCAGATGAAGGCAGGGTGATATTGCTGAGGTAAAGCAGAAGGGTGAATGAGCTGTAGCCAGTGACCTGGGAGTGAGGTTAACCAGGAAGCCCAAGCCTAGAAACCGTGTGTGCAGACGACGACGGGCAAGAACGTGAGAACGAAGTGTGCGGTGTAGATGTCTACGTGAATAATGTATACTCGCCACCAGAGGATCTGTAAATTAGACTATCACAAGCAAAAAAATTTGAAATTATTCTTTCGAAGTTTTTCGCTTTTTTTAGGTGGTGTAACTAAGGCACTAATGAGCAGTTGTGTGGCTTGCCAGGGTTTAGCTGCACGAAATGAGGCAGCTCATGACACCCGATCGAGTCAACTTCACCGCGACCCTCCAAACGTATTCACGACCAAATCTTTCCGCAGTGCGAAGTTCGGGGTCTGTTCAGATCGTCTGCTCATTTCCGTCCGTGGCGGAGTTCCCTCTTCCCACAGAACCCATTCGCGGTCCCAGAAATGAGGCCTCCCTCTCCGCCCTTGCGTCTTCTTTTTTCTTTCTTTTCCTCCCGTTCCTTTAACTTCGTCCGCCCTCCCTCGTTTCTAGTCACCCCGGTGGCTTCCCAACTCCTCATGCACTTGGGAGGACAGAGGAGGGCACACAACCCTCTACGCAGAGCGATGCTCGGCTGGCTGAGAGAGGGGCCAGCGGTCTCATCTTCCTGCTCCCACCCTCCCGGGATCTCTAAGTTATTTACCTTCATCTCAAAGCTCGAGCAGCCGCGCGATCTAGCAAGTGCGCAAGCGCACTCGGTCTCCTCCGAGACGGCTACCGCGTTCCTGTCACCCAGGAGACCGCGCGATCAGCGACCAATCAGCGAGCGTTGCCTGAAGGGCGGAGCCTCGCGGATCCTCGTCGAGAGCCGGGAAGGAGCGTTAGACTCTTTGCCGAGGAGGGCGGGAGGCGTGGACTGGGATCACGTGATGCCAGCGGAGCTGGGACGACGGCTTCCTGGCTGAGCTCTGATTGGATGAGACTCAGAAACTCGCTCTCCAGAGGCGGGCTCTATGAGCTCTGAAAAGGCTTCTGCGTAAATTTTGGCCCAGCGTGACTGAGAAGCTGAGGGTGATTGATGAAGTCGGTGAAGAGTTCAAGAGAAAGTTAAAAGGAGGTGGGAAATGGCTCATGAGCCAAATATTCTTATATAGTCCACCCACAGACGGTTTAACCAGCCCTCCTATCATATTCTATTTTCCTTTCCAGGTTTCTGGGCTAGAAGGGATGAAGTGTGAGAGAGAGTTTTTCTCAAGGCCGTAATTGGGTGTTCAGACTTTGTGATTGGGCTTTTCCTAAATGGCCAACTAAATAGACCAAAGTGGGCAGGAAAAATTAGCTCTAATAGCTTATCTTTAGGCTTTGGGCCTGGCAGCTTTTCCCTAAGTATTACACTAGCTGTAGTATTTGTGCTTCACTATTTAGAATATGAAAGTGCATCTTTTGCCAAAGTATTGAAACAATCCATCCTTTTCTCTTTTTTCAAAATCAGGAAGAACTGTGATTTGCTTAGAGAAAATTAAATGGGTAATTTAAAATAACTAATGATGGATGCAGGATCACGATAAACAGAAAAAATATCGAGGTTGTCAAGGATTTCATTTTATTTGGATTCATAATCAATGCCCATGGAAGCAGCAGTCAAGAAATCAAATCACATATTAGCATTGGGCAAATCTTCTGCAAAAGACCTCGTCAAAGTGTTAAAAAGCAAAGATGTCACCTTGCTGACTAAGGTGCGCCTGACCCAAGCCATGGTGTCTTCAATCACCTCATATGCATGTGAAGGCTGGACAATGAATAAGGAACACCAAAGAACTGATGCATTTGAAGTATGGTGTTGGCACCGAATGTTGAGTATACCATGGAATGCTAAAAGAACGAACAAATCTATCTTGGAAGAAGTACAGCAAGAATGCCCCTTAGACGTGAGGAGATTTTGTCTCACCTACTTGGGACATATTATTAGGAGGGACCAGTCCTTGGAGAAGGACATCATGCTTCGTAAAGTAGCGAGTCAGTGAAAAAGAGGAAGACCCTTGACGAGATGGGTTGACACAGTGTCTGCAACAGTGGGCTCAAAGATGGCAACAGTTGGGGGATGGCACAGGACCAGGCAGTGTTTGTTCTGTTGTATGAGTAACTATGAGTTGGAACCGACCTAACAGCACGTAACAACAACGACAATGATGGATATTCCTAGATTCTTATGTAGGGTGCTGTTCTCATGCACTGAGGTTTTCAGTTCGGTTAATTTGTTAAATTTTTACTGAACGATGACTCTGCAGTCATTCAGAGGATACTAAGGTTGAGGACATACCTCTGCTGCAGGGTATGTTTGTACATATCTTTAGATGTCTAACTTTAGGTGTGAGATCTGCACATTGAAATGGAGATGTCTTTACTAGGTGATTGGGTGAAGGGGAGAAACGTTAGAGAAGTAAAATTCAGAAATTGTCCACTTAAGTGGTAATATTTAAAGCAAAATGAATGGGACTATTAAGGTTTAGGGAGAAATCCGTATGTAGAGAATGAAAATTATGCCGGAAAAATTAAAATCAGGACAGTGTGAAGTCCTGCAAGCCAGGGAGAAGCTATTCAAGGGGTTCAAAGTAGATACATACTTTGGAAAACTATTGGATTTGGCTAGGAAGAATAAGTTAATATAGAGTGATAGGGTAAGGATGGATATCACAAGTTGAATGAAGTCAGTTTGTTTAGAGATACTGGGCAACTAGGCTTCCTGAAAGGAGCCCTGGTGGCGCAGTTGTTAAGAGCTCAGCTGCTAACCAAAAGGTTGGCAGTTCAAATCCACCAGCTGCTCCTTGGAAACTCTATGGGGCAATTCTACTCTATCCTGTAGGTTCGCCATGAGTCAGGATCAACAACAGCGGCGGATTTGGGTTTTGGTTTTAGGCTTCCTGAATGGTAAGACCTGAATAGTAATTCTTTAAGAACCTAGCAGTCTGCAAAAGCTTGGGTTATTTATTTATTTATTTTAGCCTTGGATGAAAATGTAGAATCAAAATAATAGGTCCTCAAAAATTTCAGTTGAGTCATTGTGCTTACCTATAGCAGACAGTACCAGGCAGTGTTTTGTTCTGTTTTACGTAGGGTTGCTATGCGTCAGAACCAACTCGATGGCACCTAACAGCAGCAACAGCATAGCAGACAGTTATTTATCAAGACTTTAGTTTAAAACCCCTGAGAAAGAAATTTTGTAGGCTTCCTCGGCTTTTTAGCTAGTTGAGTGCCAAACTCTCCTTGTATTCATATTTAGCCCATTTCCGTAATCTGCATTTGAGGAATCCAGGGCCACTGGCCTACAATTGATTGTAAAGCATTGTGTATTTGCATATGTGTATGTTCAGTAGAGTAGAGGGTCAGCAAAAATGAGGGAAACTCAATGAGATGGATTGACATAATAACTGCAATAGTGGAGTCAAACATACCAATGATCAAGATCATGAAGATGGCACAGGACCAGGCAGTGTTTCATTCTGTTATACATAAGGTCACCATAACTCAGAGCCAATTCAACAGCAGCTAAAAACAACAGCATTTTTTTTTTGCTGTTGTTTATTTTTATTGTGAATATATGTGTAACAAAACATTTGTCATTTCAGCAGTCTTCACATGTAGAGTTCAGTGACAATAATTATGTTCATCGTGTTGTAACAACAACATGTTTTACTGGGAGAGTTTCCACCAAATTCTCAAGGGGATCTATGACCCAAAAAGATCAGGAGCCATAACTGGTATTCCATACCACACTAAGGGACATGAGTTTCATTCTCTAGGCTTTGGGAAACCACTGCTGGATTTTCAAGAAGAGTGCTATGATCTTGAGTGCTGTGATCTTCAGAAAGATTATTCTGGCAGCAATGTGGAAAATATTTGTTGGAGATAAGATTGGACGAGGGAAACATAAGGCCAGTTATATACTCCAAGGGGACAATGGTGGGCCCCAACAACTTCACAAGTTGAGGAAATGAAGTTGGAAGTCCAGTGAGGCTAAGGTGGCTGGAGTTTGTAGGGCAGAGTACTGGAGAGGAGGGAGTTTCACAAAGAGAAAGCACCAGAGATCTGCAGAGGGTACCCTTCAAGTCTTCACTCAGTACTAATCAGGATATGCTTGTAAGGAAAGTACTCAAGACAGCAATTCTCAGTTCACACAGGGCTGGGAATAGTTCCTGTTCCCACCAGCTAGAGTATATCGTTGCTGTCAAGTCAGCTCTAACTCATGGCAACCCCATGTAGTAGAACTGTGTTCCGTAGGATTTTTCAGAAGTAGATCACCAGGTCTTTCTTCCGAGATGCCTCTGGCTGGACTTGAACCTCCAACCTTTGGGTTAACAGCTGAGCGCATTA